GGCTAGGCGGGGCGCAGGTCTGTTAGGACCGGGCGAACACGACTCTCACGGGCTTCTGGGAGGGCCGCAGTCGCCCAGCACCTTTCCACCCTGTGCACCAGCTCAGATTCACCCAAGGCCCCATTGTTGAAGGAAATAAACGTAAACGTGTGCATAACCCTTCCAAACACTGCTGTTTTGAACACAAAACCACCAAAAACAAGAAAATGGCCTTCCAAGTGAGATCCACCAAAATAAAGGCAGTGTCAGGGTCTCAACACACATGCACATGCATGTGCACCCAGGGCAGCTGGTGTTCAGGTTTTAATGTACAATTAAATACCATGTGTGAATAATCACTTCACACCCTTACCTTGAAAAATTAACCCTGGAGAAAGAGTCATTCATAAGCTTTATTTGCTAACTTTATTACAAAAGGTACTGGAGGCATCTACTTCAGGGCTGGAGTTTTGGCAAGGTCTACTCCTTTTGCAATTCATATTTAAAAAACAGCAGTAATACTTAGGGAAAATACCCAAAAGACTGCCCAATGACTTGCAGCATTAGTTTTAAACCTGCATCAACGGTCTGCTTTGCTACTCATGCCCTAATGCTCTCATACACAATTCTGCTTTTTAGTCTCTAAGAGAAAGAAAACAGGGCTCCTGATTTGTGAGCAGCATGAGATGGAGGAGTGTAACAGGCAGCCTTGAGGCTGGGTTAAGGAAGGAAAAGTACTGGGCAAAAGGAACAGAGTTGCGCACGCTCCCCATGAGAGCTGCAGTGAAATGGCTTACCCCCGCGGAGTAAGCAGCCTTCAGCCAAATACAGTATTAGCCCCACACTTCCTACGGTGTGTAGGAAACAGTCTGCACAACTCACGCTGCTTTGCAGGGCACTTGTCTGAATAGGATGTGCTCGCTTGCTGCTGCCTGGCGTCAGACTGCCGCAGACCACCCGAAGGGTGACACAATCGCCTTGGCAGTTTCAGTCCCCCCAGATCTGGGGACTGAAAATGGATCAAGAGGGTTCTGCGGCTCCCACCTCCTCCATTCATCCTTCCTTCCTGGGCAATCTGAGTTGCAGGTAGTATTAAATACCGACACACTGGTATGCCCTCCCCCAATCCTGCAAAAACATTAACTTTAGCACTGAAAATTCTACCACGCTCCAGTTTGTGTCATCTGTGACACTGCAGAGCATGGAACACTCCAGAAGTTACACACAGCAGTACAACAGAAATACAGAGAAGAGAAATAGCAGTATATTACCAGCACTTAGCTGAGACCTTATTTTCCAGGCCTGAGAAAAAGTTATCCAATATCCACTGCTAGGCAATGCAACTAAATTTTACTCTTTTTGAGTACAGGAGCTTCATTTACCTTCATGATGTAATGAAGGACTCAGATCTGACCAGTGCTACGGGTAGAAATATGTAACTGCCACAGAACTAGTGACTTGATATTTTTAGCATCTACAGTGCAGCTTCAGACTGCTCCAGTAAAAACCTACAATCCACAATGCACCTTTGGTTTCTTCTATCCTTTGCAAAATTCTTAGTAAAACTGTAACTAAAACAAACTTTGTAACTATTAGAAAAAGCCTTCATCCTTCTACCTCACTCTCTCTATTCATCTCCATGTCAAACCCTCATTCATTTAAAAAAAAAAAAAGGAAAAAAAAAACCAGGAAAAGGATGGGGCGTTTCCTGGGGAAGTGCAGACCACACTGAGCATCTCTGCAGGCAGGTCACATTCGTCCCCCGGCTGAGAATTCAAAGAGCAGCCAAGCTGCCCAGAACGTGTCATTGGTTAATGGGTCACCAACTGGATTCTCCAGGACCTGAAAGACACAGGAAAGAATCAAAGCTTCACCACATACGATCTTTAATGATGCCGTTGCTCACGGTGGAAGAGCTCCTTTGGGCAGACATACAGTAGCACAAGACTGTGCGGTGGGAGGGAATGTCAGTGGTGAAGGCTGTGTGCATGAAGTGACAAAGTCCTTGTTTCCCTCTAAGTTCAGGTGGAGTAATCCATCTGTACAGGACGTGGGTGTAAAAATGACAAACACAATCAGTGCACAATTCAACTCTCAGTAATTCAGAGAAGAGCAATTCCCTTCCCTTTGCCCAAGGCATTGGCTCCTATAAAAGCAAGTAAATGACAGAGGGTAAGACCAGGATGAAATAATTAAGAAGGGAGTGATCACCTAAACAAGGGAGTTCTGTTCAGGGAGGGAAAGAAATGTCTCCAAAATGAATTAACTTTTTTTTGTTTGTTTGCTTGTTTCGTTTTACTCTCATTTTGGCTCTGATGGGATGCATGACCCAAGCAAATTGAAAGTCATGTGTGGACAAAAGGAAGTGTACATCTGCACCCCTGTGGTTCAGACACAGGAACCAAACATCTGCATATTCCTGCAGCAAACCCAGGGCAAGTTGATTCAGCAAGAAACAGAGTGCCCCGGAAGTCTGTAGAATGCTCTGAAATCATTTACCCATTCAAGCTCTTCCTTTTCCTACAGCACACATTAAAATATGCAAAAATTGCTTTTCTGAATTCCTGAACCGAGTAATTGTTACAAAGATTTGAAGATGTCCCCTTTTGACATCTGCAGGCATCACACAGTATCTTGCTCCCCGGCCCACATTGCACTGAGTGTCATGTTTCTATACCATTGCAAAATCAGTGCAACAATGCAAAATAGGAAGATGAGAACTCTAGCTACAGAGACTGCATGCTCTGGAAATCTTAGAAAAGGCTCATTCATTATTAATGCCCAAAGCTTTCCTACTCATCTGGCTCATTATGGCTGGTAAAAAGGCCACTTTCCAAGATACAGATCTTTATATTGATGCTTTCAAAGGCTCAAAAGAGGTTCTGTTACTGCCCTCAGAGCTGCAGCCGCTTCCCATAATGAGGCCAGCAAATATGGCCTCCTGCTTTTCAAAATCTCTTTTGAAAAGGTTTTCTCCGGCAGCTTGCGTTGCAAGAGAAACAGACATGGATGCTAACTGATTGGTAGACCAACACATGTGAAGCCAAAAAATAGCTCAAGGTACAGTTTAGATAGGGCTTTCTTGGGTCCTATTTTTAAGTAACGTTTAATTCACAGATGTGCTCCCATCCTTGAAAGCACCAGATTTCTAACTTCTATTCTCTACTGCCTTAAAATCACTGTAAGAAGGCATGCAGACTGTATCCAGATCATGGAAGTAACTTCTTTTATCACTTCCTGTAATAACACTGCTCTGTACACTGCTATCAGCTATCTCAGAACAGTGCAAAATCCCTTGTCCTCAGCAATAACACAGACTTGGAAATGAAAATTACATGAAAGGTTTTAAGAGGTCTGAGAGAGCAGAGTCTAATTCTGCAGAACCCCTCAGAGGGGAGTGCCCTCAAGCAGACATCTTCCCTGTTGTCTTCTTTCCACAGTGCTAGGTGAGCCCTCCATTGCTCAAAATTTAAATGACACTTTGGATCTGCACAGGCTGCTTTGGCCATTATTTCAATGACACATTTAGTAAAATTAGGTTCTGATAAGCAATCCAAGCGGAAAAAACAACAAAGACGCTTCTCCTTCTAGCACCTGCTGGATGCTACCCAGGGAATGCCCAGCGACTTCTCCTAGCATCTGCTGGATGCTACCCAGGGAATGCCCAGCTTGCTCTGAACTGGATTCCAAAAGGTATGCTTAGATCAAACATGTTTCATACTAAATACGATGTGAGATTTCACACCTCCTGTGTGAGAGCTACAGCTGGATAGAGTGTACAGGGCTAAGCTCCTTTCTCTGAACACTAGGTGTGTTCTCTTACCTGGCTTTGTCCCAAGGCTTGGCTTTCTTCCATGCAGGGTGCAGAAACAGGTGGGCACTGAGGCTTGCCAAACACAGTCTGACAGGAACTGGAAGAAAATATGATCATTACAAATGCATTTGTATTTATGCTCTACTCACCACTCACTGTAGTGTTTTGCAGCAGGACAAGAGGGGCTGCTGGCAAGACTATTCATTCAACAGAGTTCTGTTAAGCTGTCCACAAACCTGCCCCATTTCTCCAAATTGTTATGGCCTGAAAATACAGATTCTGCACTGGGAGGACTAGCCTGACCAGGAGCAGTATACAGGAATGACATCTCCATTTGCAACTTTCCTTATGCCCCCAGAACACTCTCCATAAACAAGGAGATGTCTACCAAAATGTCTCTTTCCTGGAACATACTTTAAACACAGATCTTAAGAGTCAAAACACATAAACATGTGGCTTTAGACGTAGCCACAACATTGGCTACGATTCTACTATAGCTTTTCAAGGCCGCCAGTCAAGAGTCTGGGGACATGGCTTCCCCATCCCCACCTGCCTGGGGGCTCTACCAACCTCTCAGAAGAGGTCCCAGCCTACGGGCACTGGGTACTTGATGATGGGATGTTCTCTCCCTTCATCACCAACTCAAAAATATCTATATTCCAACAACACTGCCCATACCACTACCAGGAATAGCCCAGGGTATGAATGGCCATAGAGGCCCAGACCAAAGGTGCCAACAAATAGAGCACAGGAAAAAAGTAGAAGAAACAGGGCAAGTGTCAAGTTGCCCTCCCTTGGAATGCCCCCCAGGCTCCAGCAATCAGTCTTGGGACTCCTCTGCTGGAGGCTGCATTCAGGCAATTACATGTACTAATGACAAACGGACTCAACCCCCTGCCCCCCCAAGAATTTGTCTCATCCTTTTTCATAGCCCACTTACACTGACATGCACAATGCCCTTAGCAACAAATTCTGCGATTTAATTATGCAACATGCCAAAAAGTAGCATCCTTTTGTGCGTTCTGAACTTGCTGCCTGCCAGTGTCGGGGTGCTGGGTTATCCAGAGGGGAGAGCCTAACAGCAGGAGGATTCCTAGCGCTCTGAGCTGGAATCCCAAAAATGCAGGCAGAAGCAGTAAGCTGCAACGAACATCTCAGGACTGATGTTTTCTAAATCAATATGCTGGCTCATAAATACAGTCTGTCTTGCTCCATAGAGTTCAGTGTGCTTTTCTGTTTGAAATGTGAGGCACAAGAGAGTTCTACTCTGCATGAACCATTAGCTGGGCTACATTCCACCTGTCCCAACTCGAGGAGTGAAGAGGATACACCACCACTATCTGTAACGGCAAGCATCTGTTTGGTGTCCCACAGGAACTTCCAGTTCGCTAGCTGGATCAAACTCTCCTGCCAGGCAGCAGGAGCAGATGGAGACAGTCAGCTTCCAGCCTGGTTCCCCCTCACACTCCTACCTCACAGCCCTGTAGATCATAAGAGGTTTGGATACAGCCCAAGTGCATAAGACCGACTGTAAAAAGCCCATGAAAGAAGTCAGCTGGAATCGTTCTAATAAGCTTTCAGGCCACATCCTTTCCAGGTGAGCACCTTTAAAAATGAGACAAGCAGATTAAGGGTCCTTTGGCTGACTTGTAGCTCTACCTCTGCACCTACGAAGCAGGGAGCCACAGGTGCTGGCAAGGCAGTGAGAGCATAACACTAAGCCCACTCCAGGCGGGTGACCTTGCATAAATAATTTCCTTCTCTGTGCTTTACTCTTCCCTGTAAAGCAGGGATAACTTCACTGCCCTGTCTTTCCAGTAAAAAGCCCTGAAAGAAGTCAGCTGGAATCGTTCTAATAAGCTTTCAGGCCACATCCTTTCCAGGTGAGCACCTTTAAAAATGAGACAAGCAGATTAAGGGTCCTTTGGCTGACTTGTAGCTCTATCTCTGCACCTACGAAGCAGGGAGCCACAGGTGCTGGCAAGGCAGTGAGAGCATAACACTAAGCCCACTCCAGGCGGGTGACCTTGCATAAATAATTTCCTTCTCTGTGCTTTACTCTTCCCTGTAAAGCAGGGATAACTTCACTGCCCTGTCTTTCCAGGATAGCAACACTCATTTGCCTTACAGTTTAAGCTGTTGACTCCTCCATGAGTCCCCAGATGAGTGATGCTCATTGCAACATTATTGCTAAAGATGACCCTGGTGACACAACACTTCTCTCTAATCCAGTAACTCTGTTAGAGGGCTCTGCCTGATAACAAAGGTGATCCTCATTCATTGCCATTGAGTGAGCAGTTGATCTTACCCAAGACTACCCACGCGAGGTCTCCTGGCTCTCTAGAGAGAAATTGCAAAAAGGCCAAGATAAAGTTGCAGCCTAAGCATCACTCGTTTCTAAAGAGATTGCTGTTCCATAGCATTCATGGCATTTTGGGGAGTTCAAGGTTTTGGGGGGAGCTGGACCAGGCCACTAAACAGGGTTTATGAACAGTGTTCAAATAACTATATCCTCACCAGAAAGTATCAACGAAGCATCAAGTCCTGCCCCTGCCAGGAATACGATAAAGGGTGTGTGAATTCCTGGCACAACTGACATACCCAACAAGGAGACATTCACCATAGATTTCTTCTACTGGCGGAACATATTTTAAAAATAAACATGAGCTCACTCTAGAGTCAGAACATGCAATTTTAAATCCAGCCAAAATATTAAGCCTCACTGATCTTTCATGATCTTTAGCCACTGTTTAAAACTGCGAATCTTAAAACACAGACTGAAGTGGGTTTACAATGCCCAGACCTGGGTGCTCCCCAACAATTCAGAGCGGGGAGTCTGACATGAATGTGAACAACTGTAGCCCAGGAGTCTGACATGAATGTGAACAACTGTAGGCACCAAGCCAACTGGGAAACGGGTAAAAGGCAGAAATGTTTTTAGCAGAGAACTGGGAGGCAAAAAACCACTGATCTTTATCTCCAGTGAATCACTGCCTTCCCTTGTGGCTTGACAAGCCACAAAGCCTCTCCGTGCCTCTGCTTCCTCATCTATAAAGTGGGAATAAAACTCCTTCTACCTACCTCTTTGACATATGATCGACTGTGTCACACTAGCACAAATGCTGGACAGTGTCAAGCAGAAGGGTTATGAAATGGGGCTACTGCTCCTGTTCTGTCTTGCAGATCAGCAAATTAAAGGAACCTAGTAATGTCTGTTTGGCAGTGTTTATTTTTACCTAACATTATGGAAGTTGTATAACATACGGAAGATGGCACGGATTCTTGTTTTTTTGCATTCTGTGAATTTATATTAAGTCCCAGAGAAAATGTGCAGCCTGAAACATTTGATACAGGTGGAAAACAGAAAGACAGAACAGTGCCTGTCTTTCTGTCTTCCAATTTGGAAAGCTCGCACGATGGAATAATCTTGTCATGAGGTTATGAAGCTACAAAAACTATTTTAGGATTAAATACGGGCCCTACCAACCCAGCCCACAGAATCAGCTCTCACCGAGATCAGTATAGGTTATAATTTTCTGCCAAAAAGAAAAACAGGCAAATGGCTTAGAAGCTAAGCCTGCTTTAAAGAGAGGGGTTCATATCTTTTCTGATGAGGCTGGTCCCGAATATCCTTTGTGCCACCACTGTAAAACACATACACTTATACAGCACTTCCCATTTCCAGTGCACGGATATAAATATCTGCAAAATGTGATGGACACAAGGAGCGTCAGGCCCCTGGAATGAGATGCATCACTACACTCTTTCTGCAACCCTCTTCAATGGGGGGATCAGGACAAGGCTAGACCCACAGCATCACTGTTACTCCTGCCTTTAAGAAACCTTGTGCTTTCCGCTCCCTTTACCTGTGGGGAAGAATAGATTCCAAGGTCCCTAGCTGTCCTTCTCTAAGGATGAAGCTTTCAACCTCTAAATCTGACTGCTGAATGATTCTTCCTGAACTGGCCTCAATACAGCCACCTTGAGGGACTCTGCTCAAGGGAGCTCTGATACCTGCTGAAATAAATGCTCATATTAAAGACAATTACAGATAACATGACCCCAACCTCTGACCCAGCTATTCCTCCCCTCCTTGCTCCACATTCACCAGAGGCTGGGCGAATGGCAGTCACAGCACTTTCTGTTCCGCAGACTTACAGCAAAAGCAGGTGGCCATCACTTACGTATCCTATCAAGGCTATTGTGAAGAACAGGGAGAAGAAAAGACATGGTGGGAATGCTGAACAAGACTGGACAGGAAGGAAACAGAGAGGGAGAGAGAAAGAATAGCAGGAAGGAGAAAGGAAAGTGAGAATGTATTGCTGAAGATGAGCACCGTGTCATCACAGTTAAGAAGTTCCCAGCCTCTGCTCAGGCAATCTCTTAGGAATAACAGGTATTTAAAAACCCAGAAGCTTGCAAACTGACAAGGTGAGCAGACACCACACCTGAAGGGACTCTTCCAATGGAAATGCTAAAAGGAATCCACCTTGCTGGAAAAGTACTATCTTATGGAAGGAGTTACAGTTTAAGCAAAAGACTAGGTAAGAGTGTCTGCTTCAACACCTTAAATCAACAGATTTTTCGTATTGAGCTACTATGGGAGCAGAACTCCAGAGCTCAAAATAAGCCCTGCTCCCAGTTGTCATGGCATCAGAAAGCCACGTAAGTGAGCAAGAGTGTTTACAACAAAGGGAAGGGAAGCTTGAAAGCTCTTAAGGTCAATGATCTGGGTGCAGTTTTACTAACCTTCTATACTTGGGGTCCACATGGAGCCAGAGACTCCTCTGGTGCTGGAAGGGGCCTGCCACATGACCAGTCGTTCATCCGGGAAGGTAAGAGACCCGCAAGAGCACAGGACAAAGTTATCCAGCTGGGGGCTGGCATCAGTACTGCTTGCTACTTCTCTGGGCTGCAGGACAGCAGAGTTAAAGCAGGTTCCTGGTTCCAGCATAGCCTCAGTGCAAAAAGCTACAGGTTGTTCAGTGTTCTGAGTGGTCAACAAAGCCTTGCTTGTCCTCGCTTCATACAACTCACTGCTCTGCATAAAGCTGTAATGATGGAGAAAATAAATCAGCCAGACATATTGCTTTGCAAAGAGGGGGAACCCCCCCAGCTAAACCTTTGAATCCTGCCCTTGACAGCTGGGAGATTAACTGCTAGATGCTCTGACTGCCTGATGCTGGGCATGGACCGTTCCCATCTATGGAGTCACAACCCCTAAGTGATGTCCCCTGGGAACTGATGTGAAAGCCAGTTCCATGAACAAGTTTAAAGGTTGCTTCATCTCTGAACTGTCACTGTAAAGACTTTTTCATACATCACCTGGATTCCAGCATCTTTAAATAAGTTCCTTCAGGAGGCTTATCCAGATCTGCAGCTGACTGCTCCCACCCTGGGTCACAGGGCATGAGGGTTATCTCCATTTGCTCAGAGCAGATGCTTACACAAGATCCATCTGAAAGGTGCAGGCCGGGCAGGTGAAGGAACACTAATAGTTACTCAAAAAAGCAATGAAACAAGTCTAATTTGCCAAATGCAGCAAGACCCTCTTATTCCCCATGACTGAAGTTTGGTCAAGATTCTGTGAAGGGGCATGGAAATACTGGGTTTTACTGGAGTACTGCCCTGATCCCAGAATCTGAGAGCTAAAACCTGCTACCTCCCATGTATTTGCTTTCATTTGGTGCCCCTTCTGAGACGGGCATGTCTTTTCACCTGTCCTTGCACAGGCGTTATGAATGCTTGCTCCTTCTACGGAGTGACAGCCTCTAGCCAAACAATGAGGCACTCCACTGAAGTAGAGTCCTCCAATGTCCACTTGATCCATCAGCATATAGATGCTGTTCTGGAGAAGGAATAACCTTCCCTTCCTGAGGGAACTTAAAATTGTTCTTCAGCTTTCTGGATCACATCCTAAGCCCATTAGGAAGAGACGAACCTGCAGGTTGTGGAGTGTAGGATCCTTTATCCTGCTGCTCCTTCGTGTGGTAAGTCAAAGCCCTCTCAGGACATGAGTTGTTGAGCTTTTCCGTACGAGGGAGGCAGGATTTTTGACGTCGCCGATAATTTGCAAACCAATTATAGACCTGAGTTGGCTGCAGGTTCATGTCCCGAGCCAATCCCTCCTGCAAACCCAGGTGTAGGGAGAGATCAAGGGAAAAAGAATAAACCACATCCATGTAATAATCAGGCTTTTCCCTTCAGTTCAAAAAGCAGCCCAGCAAAAGAGCTTTCAAACCCAGAGGTATTTGTTCACTAGGTCTCCGATAAGTCTATGTGGATCCCATTAAGGAGACCGATTTATAAACTCAGACAAGTTGCTGGAAAACACACATTCCACCCTGCTCCCCTAGTCAATTTGTTTGCTAAAGGAAACCATATACTGCTATTTTATATTGCTGTATTTAAATGTAAAACCTCACCAAAGCATGCTCTTCCCACAGAATGACAGCTTCACATCACTAACATGACACTAATAGGATAAACACTAATGCATTTACCACATTAAATAGTTTTCACAAACTGTGAGCAGTATAAACATCTGTATCACGTTCACAGAAAAATTTCTGCTGTATTAAACTGTTAAATAATGAGATCACATAAGTGAAGAACGTACTGGGAAATTAATGCATAAGTGATCATAGTATCCTGACCTTTTAGGACTTAATTATGCAACTTCATTATGCTCCCAATTCAGATTGGTTTTTTAAAATGAAAATTTGGAAGTTGTTGCTGCTTTGTGAAAAGGGTAAGAAATAAACCATCTTCACATTGTGGAACTATTCAACAGGCCATCCTGCCTCATATGACAAGGGTGTTGGAAAAATTGAGCACCACAGAGGCAGACTTTAAAGTCTGAAGCCTTCACTTTGCAAGGTAGTAATCAACAAGGATTACTGCATTAATTCACATGTCACTTTCATTACAAATTTGTTCCTGTCCAAATAAGGTAGATAGATGCATACCTCAACACAGCCTATCGTGTTTTCAAATTCTGTGAATTTAATGTGATAAGTCAGTACAAAATGTATTCTGGTAAGCAAAGTGCAATTTTATAATGGCTATAACTCAGTCAAGTCAGAACTATTTATCACTGTAATATAGTTCTTCTGAGTGATGGTTGTTTCGCTGCCTATGCTCAATCACTACAAAATTAGACCTGTTAAAAGCCTAGTGAAGAACTTATTTCCCCTGATCTTTTTGTCCAAAGCAAGTGAAATTACTTAGCATGAACTTGATGATTTTTTAAGGAAACCTTCAGGGAAAGATCAAATATCAGGAATCCCAGCCTCACTGGGGCTTCTGAGAACAAGGATTTAGAATGAAATCAGTTATAGGACCCTGATAGCAAAGTTCTGCTTTTCTGTGATAAGGAGACCTGATTGGAAGTAGCATATCCCTACCCGCTGTTTCTTGTTTGGATTTGTTGTCACCTCTGCAGCAAACCTGTGCAGTTGCTGTCGTACTTCATCTGAATAGTTTCGATTCTTCAAACCTTCAGGACAAAGGGAAATAGGTGGAGGATTCCTGTACACAGGAGAAAACAATATTAAAAAGGACCCAGAAAGAGTCATTCACATTCATGGGAATTTTCTCACGTTGCCACAAGTGGTCAAAATGCCAAGAAAAACCTAGCTCCAAGAAGCAGGCATCTCGCGATGCAAAAACAGCCTCTGCATCTCTACCCCCTGCATCTGCTAACTACAGCAGGAAAAAAAAAAATGTGGTCCCCCCATGCCGCAGTACCTCTTCCTGCAACGGAATTTCTGCAGTGGTGTCAGAAAATCCGTGTGGTGTTTCTCCATAACCCTCCGGTAGTGAATCTCATGCCAAAGTTGCACCAGCTCCTCCTTCTCTTCTGCCTTGCAATACTAAAACAGAATAGTATGTAAGCAAACCCTTTCCAGGTAGTCCGTCAGGCTTTCTGTAAAGGAGAAAACCCTCAACAACTCGAAACTTACTCAGAGTCCTACTGGTTTGACAAAGCTGGTAGCATCATCCAAGTATGTGGCTCACTGTACCTTCTCTAATCTACACAGGGAGTTGCCTGCCTAATTCTTTCTTTTCCCCTGGTGAAAAGGGCTACGTTACCAGATCTAGAGACCAAAATCCCTCACCCTGAGTGGTGCCATCCAGCCTTCCTCATATCTTCCCATCCTGGCAAGCCCTCTAAACTTGGCCTCCCCAAGGCTTTTATGTCCTGAGCCCTAAGTTTGTGAAAAACTCCAAGAACCACCACACTAGAGAACAAAAATCCTGCTTTCACAAACTACAACCAACCCTATAATCACCCAATTACCTTCTTCCCCTTGGCTGATTAGTTGTAACCGCCTGTAGCACAGGCTTTATCCTGTGTTTCAGGTCAACCAATGCACACATATCACCTTACACTGCCATACACCAGCTGGAAACGCTCCACACACTGCAGTTTGGGTACCTCTACACTAACAGCTCTAACTACTATTTTTCTAATACTGCTTTTTGTCTCCATGAAGAAACAAAGAACACATCCCTACCTCCAGGAGTCTGCAGGCTGTGTCATGCTGCCCATTATGGATATGAACGAACACGCAAGCTCGGACAATGTGGATGTTAGTGAGAAAATACATCTTGTGTTTGCATCCCATCATGGCCCCAACCAGCTTCTCCAGACTAGGAGACGAGCTCTGGAGGTCCTGGCAAAGCTGTCCTGCTAGATCCAGCAGCTTGGCAGGTGGGGGATCCTTGTTTTTATTCCTGTTTAACATGGCCATGAACCGCTTCATCCTTACGTCCTGTTGGAAGCCTTTTCTATGCAATGCACAAAGTTGTGGTTAGATAAAAACCTATTATCTCCTATTTTTAGCTTCTCTGGTACGCTTTTTTTTTTTTTTAAAGGAAGGAAATTCACTGTGCTGTTAAAAGCAGCCTGAGGACCTCAAAACACTTAAAATAAAACTAGGCCTAAAGCAGCCCTGAAAGGCTAAAGCCACACCAGGTTTGTAGTTGAGAAAAGAGCTCAAGAAGACGCATTAAACTTGCCCCAAAACTCAGAGGCTGAAGGAGGAGACCAAAGCAGGAGGGCTGCCGTGGGGAACCGCACACTGGGCTGGTCCCCATCTTCCCCGCTTCGGTCTGTGTGCACGGCTGGGGGCACCGGGGGTGCTGGCAGCTCTGCAGTACCCCACGCACACACAAGCGCCCCCAGGCCCTCCACCCTCATTCAGATCAGGTACCCCCGCATCCAAATCATGAGATGAAGCTTTACATCCACTGCTTACAGGTTAAAACTACCAGAACATTAAGCCCAGAAACGTTCAGGTGAAATTCATGAGTTTTTTCTCCAAAACGGCATGGGACAGGCCAGGGGCAGGCTGCAGTTACAGCAAAGCGTAACTCAAATGATCGTCGGGGCTGTTTTTCGCCCATTTTCCTGGGGAAAGGAGGCCGGCGCGCGTGCCCGGCGGGTCCCCTCGGGGACACCCCACCCCCTGCCCCCTG